GGTTAGCATAATAATTATTTTAACGGTTTTTAAGCACCTAGAATAAATAATTCAATGTTATTTTTAAATTATATGATTTAAAAAATTTTTATTTAACAAAACAATCTTCCAAAGTGTAAAACTATTAAATCTTCGAAAAGAGAAAAATTGTTATATGTATAAAGCAAGTTCTATTATAGATTTTAAAAAATTAAATTAAGAAAGCAGATTTGATGCGAGAACTTGAAAAAGATATGTGGGAAAAAGTACAGCCCAACACATTATATTCTGAACAATGACTTAATATCCTACTTTAAACATGGAATTCTCCAAAATTCAAGTTGGTACAACTTGAATTTAGCGTTTTTAAATGTTTCAGGGGAAATTTATAGAACCTTAATAAAATTAAAAAACTTGAGTGCAAAATAAACAACTGAAAAATAAAGTTCTACAGAACTGTAAAAAATAAGAAAAGAAAATTTATTTGCTCATTTTAAAAATGAAAAAAGATTTATTTTTATTACCTTAAGAGCATTTGAACTAAATTACCGGAATTCCTACAATGAATAAAATAATAACGTCGCAAGCATATTTCGCAACATAATTAAAATTATTTTCACGAAAATTTAAATATGGAATCGTTTTTAAATGTTAATTGAAGAGAAATTAACAAAAGCATCAATCGCAAGATATTAAAATAGTTCAGTTATAAGTCAGCGATGCAATTGGAAAAATTGTTTTTCAAAAATAAGTATTGTTCTTTATTTTGTGTTGTAATTTTGTTTTTGTACAGCTCTTCACTGATAATAACACTGAGATATAATAACAGTTACAAATAATCCAGAATTTCATGATAATAAATAAATTCACGAAACATGTACCGAATATAAAATGTATTTAGTTTCTTAACAACCAAATCTAAGAACACGTGCTAGTTAAAATTAAAATAAAATAAAGAAGAAAGAAAGGAAAGAAATGCTTAAAAACTACTTTAAAATTATACTAAAATGATGACAGAACACATTAAAGATTGAATATAAAAAAATGTCGTTAAAGTTTATGGAAACTAAAAATATAAAGAGAACAAAATTTTATTTTAGATAAACGTCAACAGATATAAAAGGAAAGATGAAAAAAAAAAAAAACTGCAACAAATTTAAGGCACGAAAACTTTGTCACATCATGAAAAATTGAAGCATAAATCGTGTTTCACAAGTTTTTTAGGTAAAGTAGTTTTCTTCCTTCCTTCCTGTGGTACCAGAACGTTAACTCTAGGCAATCTTAAGCGAAACCGAAATTATGTTCGGGAAAAGCGACGATAGATAAAATATTTGCACCAATTCCTTTACCATATCTACATTTGCAAAATATATATTGTAACAAAAGTGCAAAAATGACTTCCAGAATGTGAGATGTGGAAACGCATTTAAACCATAAATCACTACGCAAAAGCATTTCACTACAAAGATGAAGAAAAGCAAGGGGTCCAGTTATTTCGCACGTAGTTTTGAAAAACGTGTTTAAACGTGCTAACTTTTCTTTTAAAGTTAAAATTTAATTTCTGGAATAGAAATCTCTTATTTGTTTTAAAATTATCAATATCTAGTACGCTAGGCAAGGAAACAGGATTTACATGGTTAAAAGTTTAAAAAAATAAAAATTACGAGTTATTATTTTAATCGAATTTAACAAAGCTATGTTTTAAGTTAGTTAATATTTAAGTTTATTAATTTAAAAAAATTGCGAGTTATTATTTTAATCGAATTTAACAAAGCTATGTTTTAAGTTAGTTAATATTTAAGTTTATTAATTTAAAAAAATTACGAGTTATTATTTAAATCGAATTTAACAAAGCTATGTTTTAAGTTAGTTAATATTTAAGTTAATTAATTAAAAAAAATTGCGAGTTATTATTTTAATCGAATTTAACAAAGCTATGTTTTAAGTTAGTTAATATTTAGGTTTATTAATTAAAAAAAATTACGAGTTATTATTTTAATCGAATTTAACAAAACTATGTTTTAAGTTAGTTAATATTTAAATTTTCAATTTTAAAATGAATAAAATACATACCCTAGCAGCAAAACAACCAACCCTCATTAGGACCAATATTAATTAATCTTGACTCAATATGGGTAACGAGGGACGATGTTATTCCAATATCAGCCCTATATAGAACCTAATATTTTATACCCATTATTCAACCAATATCCCCTATATAGAAATGTTAATGCCTAATATTAAAATCCATTCTAGAACCAACATCAAAAAATTTTGACATTCCAATATTGGTCCCTCTCCCTCGGTGTATGTGGTTTTAAGTGAAAGATTTTTTTAAATTTTTGTTTTATGCAATGTCCTCATTTAAACTGATATAAAATTTTCCGTTATTAATATAATTAAAAGAAAGAAACAATATCATTTTTAAAACGATTACGAGTACAAAAGAATAGTTGCAAAACTATATACATATTACTAAAAACGAAAACTCATAATATAGCAAGAACTAAAAAATAATGCTAATGTTTAAAATTTCAAAGTTTTGAAATTTTTAAAAATTATTTTTCAATAAAATTACGAGAATATTGTTGTCAAAACAGCCCACTTTTTATATGTATCTTTTAAAAGTTTTATGCATCATTTCAAAGCTTTATGTATAAACAACCAAAAAGTAAAAGAAATTATAATTCCTAAACTAGCAGGAAGCTTTTGCATAACACAGTGGATATCCATACTATTTTATAAATTAAAAACTGCCGTGAATCTTTATAATATTTAATTTTAAATTACTATTGATGGTTATGTTAGATGAAAAACAACTTACACTGAATTTTCAAAAATTATCAAAATATTGCTATGTTGAAAAATTGTCAAAATATTGCTCTAATGAAAAATTATCAAAATATTATTAGATGAAAAGCAACTCATACTGAATTTTCAAAAATTACCAAAATATTTTTAAAATATCTTACATATTTACTGAAGAATAAAAATCTCAATCATTTTAAAACTCGGTTAATCATCTCAAAACCTTATAATTTTTGTAACGCAAAAAAAATAATAATAATAATAAATAAGTAAAATAAATAAATAAGTAAAATAAATAAATAAATAAAATACGCCTCAACTTTTTAGAATAAAGTTTTGTCACCGCTGAATTTATATATAATAATTATAGTGAGCAAATTAATTTTAAGAATATGGAATATAATCTGCAAAATTTGCCTAATATATGCTCTAGAATATATGCATACATTGACATAGGCTCTAAAACATATGCATGCATTGACATATGCCTTAGAACAGAAATAATATTAGTATATAAATTGCAAAGGAAATTACATTTCACAGGTAAATAAATGTTGCGAAATTGCGCATAAACTTGATTTCTGTAAAAATAAAAATAAAATAAAAAATATAGAGAGAATTAAAAAAAAAATGCAAAGAAAAAATAAAAACACTTCCCCATACATATTGAAGATGTTTAAAAAAATTTTTTTTCTGGATAATTTAAAGCAATTAAAGCAAGTTCAGAACGCTTTACACACGCACAAAATACTACCAGATTTTCTTTTGAGAAAAAAAAAAAACAGTTAATTATATAGAGGTAAATTACGAAATTAGATTATACTGCGGCAGTGTATATGAGCGGTTACATCAATGCGATATATGAATCATAGTGTATCGACCTGATTCAAAAAGTTAAATTAAAAATCACAAAAGCTAGATAAAAAGTTCGAATTCTTAATAGATTTTCATTTAATAACAGGCATAGCTTCGCCGACAAGAAATCGCTACTAATCAAATATTTTTTCCTGACATATCTTTAAAACAGTCGGTACTACAAAGCATTGCAAATATCATCCTTCTTATGTAATAGCGTATACATTATTTCTTATGCACGTCTAATGGTTATAATAAAGAATTTGGGATATAGCTCAGAGAAAACAACGAAAGATAAACGACAAAGACATTGGTTGAACTTAATATATTGTATATTTCATCACATTTTTATTAAAATACGAAAATATAATTCATTCATAATTTTTTTTTTATTTCTATGAGAAGAACAATTAAAAAATGTCAAGTAATAAATCTTAAGAGATTTAACTTTAATTAAGTTTAAAAAGTGATATCTTCATCTACGTTTTTGTAGTTTACTAACAAACAGAGTTATATTTTCATAAAATATAGTTACTATCGCGTGTTTCTAATTCGAAAACCAAACGCTAAACATTTGTAGTTTAGCAATATATAATATATATAATTGACAAGAGAATTTAGGAATATAGCAAATAATTTTTACCAAACTGTCCTAGATGAATGATATGTAAGATAAAAGTAGAAAATGGGATAATAGTAACAGTAAAAAATATCGAAAAAATTAAGGGGAAAAAAACGCTCATACTGAATTTGATACAGTTAATTGTGTGCTCTGTGTACTTCAACGCTGTTTATTGCTTAATATTTAGAGATTTGAAAAAAAAATTCTTTAGAATATTCCTTTTGTCTGTAACAGTGAACAAATTTTTTAAGATCAGCTCAAAATTTCGTTGTGAAAGTAATTATAGCAATAAAGAAAACGAAGGAAATAAAAGTAAAAATATGACCACTGAAGCCGTATTCTTTTACTATTGTTGTGAAAGTAAATCAGTGTTAAATAAATTTAGAATTGTGAGAGAAATTTGAATTCTGAAAAACATTATCAAACAAAAGTATAGATATATAGTAAAGAAATAAAAAAAAAGGAGAAAAATTAAATAGTAAGAAAATAAAATTGTTCCTGAAATCCAGAAAATAAATTAAGACTTGAAGATAAAAAACAAATTCTTAAAAAAAACTTGTTTACATATCATGAAGCATTTAAAAAGCAAACAAGTAAAAAGACAATTAATATAAAGAAAACAACAAGATATATATAAGAAAGAATCGCTTTACGCCTCAAAACAAATATTTTTCAGTATAGGTGCAATACTGCCTGTACTTTCAAGAAACAAAAAAAAAAAGAAAGGTACACCTACCTGACAATACTTCGTACAGCATCTACGACAGTCATCATAGAAAATTCCCTTAATGATGTTGACAGTTTCTTAGAATCTCGAGTAGGCGAAACGCGGTTAGTCCATGACCCATTGCTCCTTCGTTTTAGTCGTGTATCGAATGTCATCGATGAAATAGTAAGTTAAAACCCAAAATAAAAGCGCACAGTAAAAAAACAACTACTAAGGGCCGGCAAATTCTGGTCGCCAGGACTATGTTATCTAGTTGGGCTAGCAACGTACCTTCCAATCGATCTCATCGAAGATAAATGCCCGTGACGCAGAAAGAACTTGCTATTCTAGTGTTAAAACTAATTTTTTCAATGAAGGAAAAAAAACAAAAAAAATTTTTTTTTCAATCGATCACAATACTTTCCCATCGTTTTTAACTATCAAATGTTAAGGAAGTAGCTCTGAGAAGATAGTGAGAAAAAATCAATTATAAAATTAATAAAAAAGGAACGTTCGGAATTTGAACTTTTTCATTGAACTTTTTTCACAATTCTTCGAATCGTTTCACGACACTGCTTACCGGGGAAAATTTTATTTATTTACTTATTTTTATTTTTAAAAAAATGGTTTGCTGCTGAATTGCGACATTAGAAACTTGAGTAAATCTTGGCGAGGTGTACTAAGGTGTTGGAATAAGTAAACGAGAGTGACACGTGCAAACGTCAACTGGCTCGTGAGTCTTTAAGAGGTTATCATTTTTATGAACTTATTCAATAAACTTAAAACCAAATAAAAGCCAGTTACATGAAAAAAATAAAAGTTCTAATGGAAGTTACTCTTAACCGACGAAATTTTATGTCTCTGTTGCGTAAGGAAAGCTACCGTGTTTTATTATCACTGAACGTTGCGTAAAGAATACTCGAGTAGGTAGAAGAGAGGGGGGAAAAACAAAGAACAATATACATTTTGGGCACGTTAAAAAAAATTCCAAGTGAAAATCAAACTCGGGTATGGAAACTTTTTTTAATAACAAAATAGCTACACATGCCATTAATTTCAACTCTACAAGACATGTACATTTTTTTTTGGCCAGACTATTTTTATATAAAATTAATAATTATTATATGTTTATTTTTAAAAATTTTCTCAATCCTCATAATTTAGTTTCTAGATTTATTTTTATTTTTTTGAATAAATTCAGGACATCAATAAAATACTTATTAGTTTACAAATAATGCAAACATATAATTGAAATTTAGCATGCATTTGCTATTGCTGTTGTTTGAGGCAAGAGATTTTATATTTTATAACCGTCGTTCAACAGTCTGCCCAATTTTTGAGTTTACAACTACCAATGTTCAACTCCGTAGCCTTGTAATTTTGAACTTAATCCAGAAAACAAAGAAACTCCTTCCTGGGTCAAGTATTGGGAGAAACTTGCCTACGTGGAGGGCTTTTTTGTAGAACTAACATGCATCTACCACTGAGGATATTTTGATCGGTGAGAGCCGGGTGCGGAATTCGCATTGCCCAGCCATCGCTGGGATTCGAATCCGGTTCACCTCAGTGGGAGGAGACAGCTCTATCCCCTGAGCCACCACGACTCCAAGCAGGAAAAAAAAAAACTGTAATTGGCTTTTCAAATTCAGAAGAAAAATAATTTTTTAAATCAAATAACATAAAATTTTGAGTGAATTGTATTTTATCTTGAAACTCTTGGCAATCAAACTAATCGATAGCCTGGCATTTCTTCAGATTGCTTTTAACTTAATTACGGAAGAAAAATTAATTACACTCATTTTCCTAAAAACTATAGTTAAAAAAATATCACAAATGATTGCATCTTTAATCCTGATTTTAAAATGTCTTTATCAACAGAATTTTATTCTTATAAATTTATAATAAGATTAGTACATGGAAACTACAGTGAATATGGTAAAATTAATCTTCAGTTACCTATTGATTCTTTTCATCTTACTAAATTATGACTAAATGCATAGAAATAAACCTTATTCATTGCCTACAATATAGAGATACTTTGAAACTTCTTTAAATGGATTTAGATTTTTATCTGAATTAATTCATATTAAATTCATTTATATTATGCATATATGTAGTTGCAAGTATGTTTGGAAGATCATTTTTTTTTTAAATTATTTACCTATCACTTAAAGAAATTATAAATTGTTTTTGACACAATATATCTGCAATAAGTTACCAAGGTCCTTGAATTACACATTAAATGTCTACGTCAACATGAATTTATGACTTGCTCATTGGTTTTTCTTTCTTCTTTATGTTCCCATCTTGAAAGCAACTCTTAAAAAATACTATTTGCGCAAATAATTACTTATAATTTTATCAAAAACTGTGCAGATTTCAAAAAAATTAAAGCAATAAAACACCTAACATATATTAGTTTATTTTAATTTAGTAAACATCCTCGAAACTAAATTTTAAAAATAAATAAAAAAAATATATATTCTTTTTTTAATTTTATTTCCAATGGCAGAGAACTTGACATAAAGGGGAAAAAAGACATGAACAAAAAAAAAGTCATTGTCTCATTCGGTCTCGAGCCTCCCAACAACGCTCGACCAAGGAACTCCCACGAAGCGTTCTGCAGTGTGAAATGTGATGACCATCCATGATGACGTGATCCCCCCAGAAATAACAAAAGGGGTCCGGGAGGACACCAATAATAAAAAATATAATAATAAATTTATATCTTTGTAGTTTGAAAATAAAGTAGTAGTTCCAAAATATTTTTTTTAAAAAAAAAACGAAAAATATTATTCCGAAGATGGAAATTAAATTATATGATGACAATATTTAAAAATAAAATTAAAACAAGCAATAAAACTTTAAGAACAATCATTTTTTTCTTAATTACATAATGAAGAGTATTCTGCTCTTTTATATAAATATACAATGCAAACTGAATTATAAAATTAAAGAAAAGTTTGAGATTCTCCCAGACTTAAGTTTTTTTTGCCTCCTTCCTACAATTTTTAAACTAAAATTACAGCTTAGTACTAAAAATAATTATTTGCTGAAGCTGATAATTAATTATCAAATAAATGTTGCAGGAAATAAGGATTTTTTTTTAAAGTTAAACGCACAGTTCAGTAGACTAATGAACACCCAAGACGAAAGATAAGGAAAAACGTTTCGGTTGAACTTCTAGTGACAAACCTTTTTATTATTTTTATTTAATAGCTTTTAAATTCTTTTGAACCATCCACTTTATTTTAAAGTTTTCATTTTTTTTTTCAAATCAATCAAAAGATAGAAAGCTTTGAACCCTGAATTTTTGGAATCAACAAAGAGACACTCACCCCGACCAAATAAAAAAAAATAAAAAAAACTCAAATAAACACGTTGAAGATCTAACTTCTAATTTATCTAACTTCTTTTTTATATTCACGACCGAAAAGGTTATCTTAGATATTTGGAGCTAGCAGAGCAGACTTAAGTTCCAAAACAAACCCTAAATTAAGAATTTAAAAAATATTTAATTTTATTTTCTTTTACGCGACTCTGGTAAAAACATTATTTCCTCATTAAACGTAAATCAATGCAGGTTCAAAGCAACTCAACGCTTGAAAAAAAAAGTTTTTAATTTTTTCAATTTATGAAAAAATAAAGTTCAATGTTAAGTTTGTCTAAAAGGAGCTGCATACTGCTCATACTGTTTCAGTCACCAGAGCTATTTGAGAGATATGAGATAATAGCGCAAATATTTCAGAAAGCTATAAACCGTTTCTAATGCTATATTGCTTTACTGATCATTAGCTTACTAAAATTATGCAAGGTATGGTTTTTCTAATTATTAAACTAATATTTTTACTTATGCAATAGCAAAACATTGAAACATTTCAATTGTTTGTGCTATCGAAAATATTATATCACATAGCAAAACTACATTATAAAGCAAATGAAAACTAAAAAGAATTAAAAGCTTTTAGTTTTTCAAATATATAATTTTTCTTTTTTTTTCCCCTTTTTGAGAAAGGCTATAAACAGGGTGCAAAATAAGAAACGGACGAACCTGAATAACATTTGATCTAATGATCGGATCTTCACATTTTAGGACTCAATCTTAATGGTTCGCGGGGGTGGCTTCAAATATCTTAATTAAATAGAGCAGACGATATTTAACAAAATTCAAGCGAAATCGATCGAATAGTTTCTGAGAAATGGAATTTTGAAAAAAGTATATTTTTTAAATTCGACTTCTCAGAAACTAGTCGAACGATTTCGCTCAAATTTTGTATTTTGCCATTCAAAATGATGCAAAATTTGTATACTTTGCAATTCAAAGATTTTTTGACTTAAATAAAGTAATAAAAAATTAATGTTTATTAAAAATTATTTTTTGTAATTATTTGTAATTTTAAATTTTTTGCATCTAAGTAAATATCCACTTAAGTTTATTTTATACATGGAATTATCTTTAGGTAAACGAATTTTATAATTGTGTGCAAAAACTTTTAAATTCGCTTAAAAAGTTTCCGAAACATGGTGAAATTCAGAAAAAGTAAAATTAACATTAAGGGGTTCAAAATTTGGACCGCTTTTCTGACTGAACTATTGAGACCATATTTTGGGAATCAGAAATCCAAATCCGGCGAAAAAAAAGTATGTTTATTCAGAGAAAATACGTTTTTGTCTGTGATTTCGTAACTTAAAATATCGTATGCACTAATTAATTAGTATATATGAGCATACCCTCTTAAACCACTAATATTGAGTCTCAGAAAGTGAAAATTCAATCAATAAAACAAAAGTTATTTAAGGACATCAGTTTATGTTTTATTTTATTTATTTTTGAGTATTGTTCATATGAAACTTTGCGCACTATATTCAGACTAAGAATCATTTAGTGCACAATTAGTTAGAATTTCAGTTGCAATAATTAGAATTTAGCAGTTATCGAAAAAGTCTAGCAGCGCCTTATACTTGTGTAAGTTGATATTTTATTCAAGTATTTGCCATTGGAGGAGATTTATAAAATTAATATTTTTCAATAAAGATATTCGGACTTTTTCTTTTATTGATAAAACGTTTTCTACGGTCCTACTTTTACAAGGGACGCAATTCTAAGAAACCAAAGTAAAATATTTATATATATAAATAAAATAAAAAACTATGTAGGGAAAGATCAATGAGAAGATTTACAAATGATTGAATATACAAGGAAAGAACTCTAGCAAGTCTTAGAAAATGCGATTTTTAATGCACTAAAAAAATAAAAAATTCCCCTACTTCATTACTAATTTTTAATGAATAAGGTTATTTACCTGGACTCAAATGTATTTTATAAACAAAACATCATTCTTAAAAAATCCCTGATTTTATTTTGAAAAAAAATTAATTTAAATTGGTTTTCTTTTATGACCCATTTGAAAAAGAACATAGTTGATTA